AAATTTAAGATGACCAATACCGGCACTCGTCAGTAGCAAATTAAAGCCTTTGGCCAAATTCAATGTGCTGCCTGTTTCCATAAATAAAGCTTTATTGGAACACAGCCATACTCGTTTGTTTGTATACTGTCTACGGCTGCTTTTTTACACTGTAACATCAGAGCAGAGTAATTCCAATACAGACAACATGGCCCACAAAGCCCAAAATATTTCCTATCTGGTCCTTTTATAGAAAAGGTTTGCCAATCCTGGTCCTGATCCTAGTTGAACACAGCTGCGCAGCTACATTACCCCGTTTCTTGAGAGCAATGAAAGGCAACAGTAGAGGCCCAAGGACAACTGGTGTAGCCACCACCCAATAAGGAAAGATACAAAACTACAAAAGCCAGGTCCTGTTACAGGCTGTTTAATACAAACTACTGTACAAAGTCTTTTTAAAGATTTTAAAAAGCAAGTCAACACCAGGGTAACAGGTAAAATTTTCTTCAATTCCACTGTATTTCTACTTCTCTTTGAAAAATTAGCAATATTTGCATTAATTGTAAAATGAATTTTTGCTATGTATGTTTCAAAATATGCTCAACAAACTGTTATAAAAGAAGCTTAAAATAACAAACCAGAGGGAAAAACTCACTTTAAACAGTTGGAACACCAGTGGCACTGTTAACTGCTTTCTGGGCAGCCTCTTTAGCTTGGTGGGCTTGTAGTACAGCTACAGCTTCATCAACCTAAAAAAAGAAGAACAAGTTGGCTCAGAAGAGTAGTAACCGGAAATAGAGTTTCAAAAATTGATATATATATAAATTCCCAACAAAGACAAACTCCTTTCCTCAAATGAAAGTGGAAAGAACTGTAATTTTAAAAATCCCAAAGCATTTCAACTATATCCATGCCCTTTGGGGCCCATTACACCACTATCCTAGAATTATGAAATCCCCTAACAGTTCTTATTCTCCCCGTCAAAAACAAAAAAAAGCTGACAAGTATCAGCACTGACTGGATCTCAATCCAATTCTCCCACTTACTAACTGTATATAAGCGCTGGGCAAATTATTCAACCTGTTTGTTTATCTATCCATAAAATGGAGTAATAGTGCCATGTTATTATGCAGATTTACAATTAATATTTATAAAGCTCTTAATGTACATGGTATGTATAAAGCACTATGTAAATATTCTATAGACGTAAGTTCCTATAAAAAACCTTAAATATACAGTATAAGAGGCAACTAGGTAAATGATAAATTTAAATCACCTTAGAACGCAGAGACTCTGGAGACTCAAGCATATGAAGAAGTTCTGAATTATCAATCTCCAACAACATGCCAGTGATTTTGCCAGCAAGAGTAGGGTGCATGGCTTGAATAAGAGGAAACAGCCGTTCACCTAGAACAAAAACATTCAAAAACTCCTTCCATTAAGAAAATTTTAATGGCACTCATTAAACTGGAGTTTAAAAATCTTACGTATATAGCATATTATGTGCTAATCCATAATCCACTATTTCCTATGTCGTTCAGAAGAACAGTACAATCCACCACAAGGCTGTCAATTCTTGGCATTATCGGTTTGCCAATTAAACTATATTACCATTAGGTTGTTAAATCTATGCTTGGGCAAAGTTCAAAGTTGTCTTTTTATATGGTTCAAATTTCTTCTCCCAAAAATGGAGTAGGGTCCATGGTAAGTAATGCCCCAATACCCTATCCATTACTAACACCACCCCTTCTATATTAGCTTTCCAGTATTTTAACACATTAACTGCCATGTGAGTTGTATTTAACTCACACTACTTTTGAGCTCAGGGCCTTGTAAAAGCAAATGTAACTTGCATGTCTCTTCCCCTTGGGAGCTGTGAGAACTATTTCAAGTTGCATATAATTCGTGCACAGAAAAATAAAAAATAACATTTTTCATTAAATTAGAAATGATCGTTTTGTTTTTGAAGTTTTCATAATAAAACACTGTGGCCCCGAGAAAAAAATTTTTCTTTTCTAGTGTGGCAGTCAATGTGTTAATTAGTTAGGCAGACCCAATGTGCCATCATAATCATTCATGTGAATTCGGATAAATTCCACTGCCCTGTCATTTTTAGGTGCAAAGTGTGTCTAAGTGATCTTTATATTTTCTAGTCTCTTTGTAACTAACTAGGCAGGAGGACAAAGGTACTTACCCAACATTTGCTTTTGCTCTTGAGGAGGGGCAGATGCCAACATGGAAGCAGTCAAAGGTTCCTGACCTTGTACATGAACAGCAGGCTAGATATAAAATAGGAAAACTCTTAAGTTTAAAGTACAGAAGTAAAGGCAAGGCTGGGTGTGGTGGCTCACGCCTATAATCCTAGCAACTCTGGGAGGCCGAAGCAGGTGGATCGCTCAAGGTCAGGAGTTCGAGACCAGCCTGAGCAAGAGTGAGACCCCTCTACTAAAAAATAGAAAGAAATGATCTGGACAACTAAAAATATATATACAGAAAAAATTAGCTGGGCATAGTGGCACATGCCTGTAGTCCCAGCTACTCGGGAGGCAGAGGCAGGAGGATCGCTTGAGCCCAGGAGTGGAGGTTGCTGTGAGCTAGGCTGACAGCCACAGGACTCTAGCCCGGGCAACAGAATGAGACTCTGTCTCAAAAAAAGAAAAAAAAAAAGAAGTAAAGGCAAATACAAATAGTCATCAATGGACAATCATTGAAGTGATAAAGACTGCCATTTACACATAATTAAGAGAAGCTTAGTGAGTTAGAAATACAGGCTAAGGTAGTTATTAACACCTATACGCTCAAATATGTACAATCACATTTGATCTAATTTCATTTTATTTTTACCATGACTCTTTGGAATCATGTTTATTTTATCATCAGTTCTGATTCCAGGGTCAGCAAAAAAGCCCAATCATGTAGTCAAACTAAACTTTCCTTCATCATTTCTTCCTTACGACTAACTACGTCAAACAAAACTCTCGAAACCACCCAAGTAATTGAGGATGGGGACTGCTGGTTGCTTGTCTAATTCCTATAAGACACAAGAAATTTTTATATATTATTAGTTAACAAAATGTTCCAGATAGCTTAAGCTTTCCTATCATGCAGTTGCCACAAATTTTTGATTCAACCAAAGATTGTCATTTTTGTAAAGAAATCATTAAATCCACACCTGTTGCATGGTAACTTGTGGCTGTGCATTAAGATGTTGCTGAGGATTACGAACTCCCGCAGCATATTTGTACTGTGGAACGGTGCGGACAGCAGGAGTAGCTGCAGCAGCAGCAGCTGCAGGACGTGGACCCATTGTCTGTGTTGATGTGTTAGCTAAAGAATAAAAACACGGTTTTGTATTTTTATCTTGTTATTTCAAATTAGAGATCAATTCTTTACAGAAAGGGTTAAAACTCACCAACACGCTGTGTTGACATGACTCGTGGAACCTGGGAAGAAGCTGGTCTCATAGTACTAAATGGTGGTCTAGGAGCGGCTGGGCGGATAGCACCGGGCATATTTTGGAATGCTGCATTTAAAGATACGGACACACTGAGTCAAAGTGTACATGCTACTTTTTTAGAGCTGAAGTTTGTACAAAAGGCTGAAAGTGACCAAATATAAACCCACTTGCTATTTTCCCAGACTTATCAGACCAGAGCCATCAGTAAATGAAAATATTAATTCATATAATATCAGAAAGATGATACATGATAAAATTCCAGGTGCTTCTGGGACACAGCACTGTTTCATAGGGCAAGACTTAAAATGCCAGGACCCCACGCTCTTACATCATTAGAAAGAACAAGATCTTCACCTATTATGAAATTAAGAGTTATATCATTCCCAAAATTTTTACAAAGGGAAAAACCAGTGTAGATATCACTATCTCACTAAGACAGGAATGGTGAAACATTGGTTTTTTTTTAACGTTAGATTCCACAACCGTAAGTTATGAAAAGCAACAGTTAATATATCATGGAACTTGAACAGCTAACTTGCCTCGTATGTATTTTCAACCAATCCTGATCTTAATTAAGAGATGGGGGGGGGGGGGAAGGGCTTACGATGAGGTCTGGCACCCTGAGCAGTCCAGCGAGGACTTGGTCTTAGTTGAGCAATTTGGCTAGGAGGATAGTATGCAGCACGGTTCTGAGTCTATAGAAAAGAAGGAAGTGAATTGATCAGGTGAAAAAAGAAAACAAATAATGTTAACTAGTAATATGTCCTCAAAACATTTCCAGGCCCTCACGTTCAAGCATTTTTTCCAATTCAGTCATAATTCATGTGTCTCCTAACAATGTTTTCATCTTGAAGCTCCATTATTTTGGGGAGGTGAGGGGACAAAACACACTAGAAATGACCAAATATGAAAACCTTTATAAAGTTCTCATTCCCTCCTGAAACCTACCTGTGGGATAGCTGCCATGAAGTAACCTGAAGGAGGTGCTGGCTGGTAGGGGTTGATTACGGGGTTGGGCACAGCTCGTACACTTGCCATTCTCTGCATATACTGGTTAGTGAGGTGAGCCTGGCGCTCTTCTTTGCGCTGAGCTAAAGCTACATACAACGGCTTGGTGGCCACAATTCTACCATTCATTTCTGTAACTGCTTTAGTGGCTTCTTCTGGTGAGGAGAAACATACAAAACCAAATCCTTTGCTGCGACCACCCTCCATCATAACCTATGAAGAGGAAAAAAAAAAAAAGTTAATGCAATGGTAGAATGAAGTACAAAAAAGAGTACTGCCAATCAGAGTTAATTATAGTTATTGAACCAAATAAACTCTGTTAATGCTGTAATCATCTTTTATTTACCCTGAATTCACAATTTTTCCTTAATACCAAATATTAAGGGCAAGCTACACATGCACATTATCTGAGCCAACCAAGAGAGCTAAAAGAGGTGGAGGTACACAACAGCAATCTTTTAAGATTTTAGATATTTGATGTTAGATTTTTAATATTAAAATTTAATTACCTAAATAAATATATCCCAGTCCTAATAAATGGACTTTCTGGCACCATTAAAAACATCCCCAATGAAATTTTGATTATTCTAGCAATTCAATGCCACAAGATGTTTTACCACTCTTTTGAGAAAAAAGTAGTTGAACCTTACAATATCCACATTTTAAAATAAAAGTTTCACATTCAAGTGCAAAGGGGCCATAAATATTATGGTATAAACAACACTCAAGAGGAAGCTTCTAACACTGACTGCAAAGATCTTTTAAATGATCAATGAAGACATACAAAGAACCCCTCACTAGCCCAGCAATATACATAAGCATGCTATAAAACTAAACAGTACGCTGATGGCATAGCAACTAAAAACAGCCTATAAAACAGAATCCAGAAACATATCCATCCAATTATGGGAACTTAGTACATTAAGTTAACATTTTAAAATAGTGGAAAAAGGATGGACTTTACACTACTCAGTACAAGGCACACTGGGACAAATGAAAAAAAAACTAAGCTAGAGCTCCTTCATAACACACTGAAAAGTCATTAAGTGCCAGGGAGAGTCCGAGTCTGAACACAAATGCAAAAATAGAGAAAATCTTTCTAAAATGATATAAAACTCTAAGTGAAAGACCATGAAAAAATATTTGCAATGTAAAACAAATGCTCCCTAAATCAATAAAGACAAACCAGATATAAAAATATACAAAGAAAAGCTGAAACTAGTAAACACTTGAAAGCACATCACTAAGTCAAAAAAAATACATTTGAGGGGCCAAGCACAGTGGCTCACATCTGTAATTCCAGCACTTAGGGAAGCATGGGTGAGCCCAGGAGTTTGAGACCATACTATGCAAAACAGTGAGACCCCACTACTAAAAAAATTAAAAAATAAAAAATCTGAAAAGATGAGATACCACTTTCTACTAAATTAACAAATCTGTTAAGACCAGTAGAAAATTGTTTAGCCTTTTTTGGACAATTTGGTTATCTCAATGTTAAATACATTACCACTAACTAACAATTCCAATCCTAGAAATTTAGATGCAAGAATGTTTAGTAGAGCAATGGTTCCAACAGTGGAAACATACAAAGCAATCCAAATGTTTATCAATACAACTACTATATGAATGTCCGGCACTTTTTAGAAAAAAAAAAAAAAATACCCGAAATAAATGTGGTCTAGATCTACTATTAAGTGGAAAGGCAAATGGTGTATAGTATGACCCTATTTCCTAAAAAACTGTTTATACACATATAAAAGGTGTTTGAACAGTATGCAAAATAAGCCAGAAGGATACCCAAACTGCAACGGTTTCTTTCCTTTTTTTTTTTAACTATTCCAACAGCATCTTTTACAGACTGAAAATGGGGTAATGAAGGGGTCACTTTTCACCCTTCTATCTTATTTGATAAATCTGTTTTTTTAGCAATTATTAAATTAACATAATGACCTCCTCCTCCAGAATAAATTATTGCCAACCTTTCCACCTACCTGCAAACAGTGAGTGATATTACAATTCGCAAAGGACTTTTAAAATAGACACTTAAGATTCTCCTCTGAAAAACATGCCTGCTTCATACACTGACAAACTGACAAACATTCAATTTAAACAACTTTTAGTGAACACACTGAGGATAGAGACACTGAGATAAACTCTATCATACTTCCAAGAACTCTTAGAAAAGCACAGGCTGAAACACAAGGAAACCATCGCACCTGCATTTTTACTTGTATTCATCTACCTTGCCCCCTAACATTTCTTCATTCTCATAGAAGCTCCCTTGGAGTGGTCAGGAAAAGCTGAGTAGAAAGACCAGCTACAGGGTCATTCCAGATGAGTGAGTTATAATTTTTCCTGTGCACTCTTCCCCCACACAAGCAAAATTACATACGTACAAAACTTTGCATACAGAGGGATTCTTAGACCATGGACACTAGCCAAAGACACCGAGAGCAGGTTCTTAAATCAAAATTTCAGAATTTGGACTGTAATCCATCCTATATGTTGTGTTTCTTAATCTCTGATTTCAAGTAAAAGGAAATATGATCTCTTATCTTTACTTTCGTGGGTGGGTCGGTGGGGGAGGAGTTGGGATTTAACTACTCAGAATGAATTGTGTAAATAAACAGATTCACTTTCTTTAACCAGTAAAATAACTAATTTAACAGAGTATGGAACAGTGTATATCATGTGAGGATCAATTACTAATTATGGTCATCAAATGCAGCATTCCTTGAGAAAGAGTTCAGAAATCGTCATCTGCGCAAGTATACTACCAATAGGCTACATCATCTATTTCAAATGTGAATTTGAGTAATGAAGCAAAACCTTGATTTCTTACCAAAAAAAAAAAAAAAAAAAAACCCTCATGTTTTTCTGGAAGAAAACTATTTGCCTATTTGTTTACAAAGGAGGCAAACACTCTAGTGGGTATATTAATGTGAAATTTATGTTACACATTTTATATACACATATCTATAATGCACGGATTTTTCCAGTCTCAAAAAAATGCACCATATGCTTTTACCTTTGCACTAGTGATTGTACCAAATGGAGAAAACTCTTTCCGGAGACGTTCATCATCAATACCATCATCAAGATTTTTCACATAAAGGTTAACACCCTAAAAAGAAAAAAACTATTAGAAAAGGGAAACCATAGTGGTACTTACACACACCTACTATTTTATCCCATGTTTCTTTGCCTATTCCCCTTCTTAAATCCCACAATTACTTGGCAGTAACTGAAATGAATGTAAAATAGGTTTCCTTATTCCTGTTTTATTTTGCTTGTTCAATTAAAAATGAACCTGGTATCTGGTGATCCTATCTTGCTTCATCTGTTCAAATTTGCGCTTAAGTTCCGTCTGCCGTTCCACTTTTTTCTGAGCTCGACCAACGTATATTTGTTTTCCATTGAGCTCCTTTCCATTCATCTCATCCACAGCCTTACCAAAAAAAAAAAAAAAAAAAAATCACAAAACTTATCAGTAACTTGTAATATAGAAGTTCATTTCTTCTTATAACTTTTTTTTTTTTGAGAAGGGGTGGGGAGGTATAGAGGGGTGCTATTTTGTTGTTTTTTTTTTTTTTGAGACAGAGTCTCGCTCTGTTGCCCCTGGTAGAGTGCAATCACAACATTGTAGCTCACTGCAACCTCCAACTCCTGGGCTCTAAGTGATCCTTCTGCCTCAGCCTCCTGAGTAGCTGGGAGTATAGGCGCACACCACAAGGCCTGACAGATTTTTTTTTTTCTTTTTAGTAGTAACGGGGTCTAACTCTTGCTCAGGATAGTCTGGAACTCCTCAGCTCAACCAATCCTCCCGCTTAGGCCTCCCAGAGTGCTAGGATTATAGGAGTGGTGAGCCACCATGCATGGCCCATTTCTTTAACAGTAAATTTTTAAATTACAAAAGCTAAACATAGATCCATCCCAAAATCTTGAGGTTTTGGGATAATATGGGTTCTTAATTTATATTTTCCAAACTAATGCATGAAATGCAAATAATTTAAAATAATACAAGAACATATATATAAAAAGCCATTGGTATGCATATAAATTTCAACGCAGGATCAACTCAATATCCCTTCTTCCTATTGAATAAAGAAAGACCATACTGCATTTAATTAGTAGATTTAAGTCTTACTTTCTGTGCATCTTCATGCCTTTCAAAGCTTACAAATCCAAATCCTTTGGATTTTCCACTTTCATCAGTCATTACTTTCACACTTAAGGCAGGGCCTAAAAAAATTTTTTAAATAATTCAGAGATATTCCATACAACATTTAGTTCATACATGTCAAATTTCAACATACAAAAAGAAAGCCATGTAAAAAATGGGATAAAAAAATTCTAAGACTCCAGAAATTGATTCCTCCTCCAAGCCTTCCATATCCCAGGCACCTATTTTTCTAAGACCATTCATTACTGCAAAGTAAATACTTAGTATTCCTTAAAAGATACTTTCTTCTTCTATGTAAAAAGGTATGTTTTAAAAAGTTGTAGAAGTTTTCTTCTAAGCTCTACTCCAAAACAGAGTTGCATTTTTTTACCCAGTAATTTTAATTTATGACAATTAAGAAACAAGAATTTAAGCCTTGGCCCATCTGATTTTCCATAGGGAGGGGAGGAATAATACATGGTTGGATCCTTTGGTAAGACACAGCTGAATCACCCTATAGGAGGAGGCATGTTACTGAAGACATGTCTTCTCCCATATCCCTCAAGTGGAAGAGATACTTAACTGAGGTAGGTGGTATCTCAGGCAAGTGGGGGCATAAAAGGTTAAAAATCACATTTGATTACAGAGAATTTGGAAGATGTACAGGCACAGATAAAATGTTTCTTTTGAATGTGCCTCTGTCCTAAGGCCATACTTCAAATCTCTGCCATGCAAAACAAGTCAAAAAAATAAGACATATTTACGTATTAGTGGCCAACTCACATAGTCCATTTGGGGTAAGTGGCTAACAACAACCAACTTGTTCAAAGGTCTGGAGGTTTCAATGTGGCATGTCAGCCTGGCAATAAAGTATTAGATTTCCTAATTCTTTATTAGGACATATTTGACATACTAAAAAAAAAAAGAAAAAAGCTACCTCTAAGTTCAACAAAAGGAAAGCAAATGGTAGGGTCAAGCAAATCACCTGTAATATACACTTTCTGATCTGATACACCTACCTAAAGGCAGGCTGGTTTACATTTCATTGGTATCATGTTTTATGAAGTTACTTTGAAATGCAAGGAAAAACTCTTTTAAGATCCTATGAATCCAGAAGGTTATCCCAAGGAGGTATCACTGGAAAATCTGGATTTTTGGCTTCATCTTTGAAAGTCATTGTTTTAAACTGCTCGAACATGTTACTAAGACTGGCTAGGCTAAAAAGCTGGCCAGCTATACTGTCCTGTAACTAGAAACTGCATTCCATGTAAGCTGGCTGTGTTAAATGTATACTTGATGAGATGGGATCTATAAGTACATAAATCCTACATCTTAATGTAGCAAAACCTTTTAAAATCTGTTCTAATTACTCAGTCATATCTTACTGTGATAATCCAATGCTATTAACCTTTAAACTGCATTAGCTGTGTACCAGGTATGACAAAAACAAAAAAACTTATCATGAACTGCACAAGTTTCTATCTATATGCTGCTACGTATATAATGACCAGTAGCTTAATTCAAATAAATACCAATATTAATAAGCACTATGTAAGTCTCATCTCATTTACTTTTTTAGTGTAAAGAATTAGCCAAAACTAATGTCGAGCAAATACTCAGAACTTTGAGTGTAAAAATTTAATTCAGACACATTACCAAACTTGCCAAAGAGATCCTTAAGGCGCTCATCATCCATGTCTTCTCCAAAATTCTTGATGTAAACATTGGTGAACTCTTTTGCCCTAGCTCCGAGTTCTGCTTCTCTTTCTTTACGAGACTTAAATCGTCCAACAAATCTAATAAAATATGTAAGGACTATAACATTAGATTCTATTTTATAAAGTTCAGATTAATTAAGGCTGATGGTTGTTTCCTTAATTGTTACCAAAAATTTTCAGAATCTAATAAAAAACACACTACAAAATAGAAATAGGGCCTTAGTTGGAGATATGAAAACATGAAATATATGAATAATAAATCTCTTAACTACAACCACAAAAAAGGACCACTTCTTTCTGCTCTCTAGCTAACCCAAGGTTAAAGGTAGGTATCACTTCTATAAATACAAATGAATGGAAGTGTGTATACCACACCGATGAAAAGACCTAAAGAAAAGTTTTCATCTTTGCTGTGCCCTTGCACTTTCTTTGGCACCGCCTAAAATAAAAATCTAAACTTCCCAATCCTGTACTCTAACATACAACAGCCTGGTATAACTTTAGCATTTTCAAAAAAATTAAAAATGTAATTTTCCCTTAATATAAAAGTAGTAAACATGTTATAGAATATTGTAATACACGGTAAAGTAAAAGAAAAAAACCATCTCCCATAATCCCACCTAGTATCAGTTTTAGCATAAATTCTCTATCTGTTCAAAAATATTAATTAGTGAAGATACCTATGGTTTTATTTCCTTATCCTCCCTAAAACATGGTGGGGCTTCTATATTCCATAGTTTTTAATGGAATAATAGTACCTCACTGTGGACATTACAACTTTCTGCTTTTGTAAATAATGCTGTAACTTTTTTTTTTTTTAAGAGATGTTGTCTATTAATATTTTCCTCAGGCTGGAGTATAGTGCCTATTAACAGGCATGATCCGATTGCATTATAGTCTTAAACTCCCGAGCTCAATCGATCCTTCTGGCCTTAGTATATAGCTGGGACTACAGGCACTAGAAATGCTGCAACCCCTATGTGTTCTCAGGACAGTTATAAAAATCACAGTAGTTCAAAGGGAAAACAAATGCTCTTGAGATTATTTATACAGTCAAACCATTTGCCAAGAGGGCTGTATCATTTTTATACTCAAAACAGAAATATATCACTTCTGAATCCCGTTAGTGTTGGCATTATTTTTCCTAAAGTGCTACTTACTGAAAGGCATTTGTGAGTACTAATGATGCTGAATATTTCTCCCATTTAAAGATGAGAAAAAAGACTTCTAAGAATTAGCCTTGGTAAACATGGTTCCTTATTGAGGAGTTGTATATTACGAAGTCTTTCCTTAATCATGGAATTGACATAGACCATACATTTGATGCAGTAATTTATGCATCAACCAGACCTTCAAGAGTGAAGTAGTTGTCTTGAAACCAAAATCCAACTTGCATGCCATCAGTGCAGTTTACACAGCAACAAGAACATATATCATCTATAATAAGACCTTATCAGCTGAATTTTCCCAGATTAAGTGAAATCCACTGACATTGAGGACAAAAAATTTTAAGATTTGTTATTTCTTTGAGAAATCATAAAATCAAATCTGCACCTCAAACTGTAGAAGAAATGGCCTTGTAGAATGGGTTTTATCAGTGCCAGTAATTAAAAGTTTGCAACTCTTAAAAATAAGTATACTTCAAGAAAAATCAAGTATATTTCAGGACAGATTAATCATGAAAACTTGATTTAATTCTGCTTCATTTTTATACCACAAATCAATAAATGCAGCAATATTAGCAGTATGGCCACATATAAAGAGTGGGCTGTGAGTTCAGGCCATTGGGTATGTATCAGCTGTCAGTCTGTCATACCAGTATATAAAAGCAGATTATTTTAGCCTCAGTTTCCTCAACTATAAAATGAGCTAACTTAATTAGTACATAAGGAATTACATTCAGTTTGACTGAATTCCTGATTTTTCAACAATGCACTTATCACTTTAAGAAAGCTTTATATCCCTGTTTACCTACCTTCTCCTGTTTTTCTTTTGGTTAGAATGTTGGTCAATTATATAAAACCCACTGTTACTTGTATGTTACAGTCAATGTGGAGAAAACACAATTATAAAATCAAGATGTAGTTTATTAATTTTCCCTCCAATGTCTGTTAAGAGTACAAATATTAACTTTTAAAACGAAGGATATGCAACTATTAAAAACAGATCTGAAATAGGATTAATGAGATAGTCATACTCACACTTTGCGATCATTTAGAAGCATCCCATTCATTTTTTCAATAGCTCTTTCAGCTGCTTCCTGTGTCTCAAAGTGTACAAACCCATAGCCCTTGGAACCATTTTCATCACAAACCACCTAGGAAAAAACGTATACCCATTTCTCATTATTTGCTATTGACTTAATATTTTCAGGGTTCAGAGATTACCTGTTAGCCACCTAACCTGGGTATTTGTGAAATAAAGATATCCATTAACAACACAGTATTAAAGCACTAAACTAAAAGTAGCTAAACACTGTAAACATGTTTACCTGTCATATTTTTGCTTACCTTACATGAAAGGATGTTACCAAAAGCAGAAAATGTATCATACAGTGCTTTATTATCAATGGATTTGTCCAAATTTTTAATGAATATGTTGCCTACTCCACTTTTGCGAAGTGATGGATCACGCTGAGACCACATGATGCGTACTGGCTTGCCCTTTATAACATCAAAATTCATGGTGTCCAAAGCACGCTCCGCTGCAGGAAAGACATTTTCAGAGTGAATATTACTTCAGAATTCTTACTGGCCACTTACAATTATATAAGCTATGGTGGGAGGGAATGGGTGGGTACATGGGTCTGACAGCTGACTCTTCCCCTTAAAACTTCAACATGTTGGGCCTTTTCAATTACACATCTGTCTATATTTAAATTGTATAATGCAAAAAGAAAAGACAAATATCAGAAGCCCCAAATTTCCTATACATGAAAGGATGGCATATTGCTAATAACTAATGAATTTCTGAAAGAATCTCTTCCCTTAATTGC